TCCCCAAGCCTCGCAGTTATTCCGGACGTTTGTGTCTCTCATCTACGCCCTCTCCGGGCCTTTACCCACACGCCCTGCCCTCTCCGGGCTCCTGTTCATGTGCTCTTCTCCTCCTGGCCCTGATCCGCACATCCGCCCCTCTCCAGGCTTCCCTTGCGCGTCTGCCCCTCTCCGGGACTCTTAACCGCGCGCTCGCCCTTCCCCGGGGCATCTATACAAAACCGGTGCCATTTCACTCTCACGCTCTTGCCCTTGCTGGGGCCTGTGTCTGCGCCTCTCGCGCTCTTGCCCTCGCTGGGGCTCAGGTAGTGCACAGCTATGCCTGGCTCCCTGACCCTTCTCGGGGTCCTTATGCCATGCGCTACTCATGCCTGTGGCTCTCTCCGAGCCTGCCCGCCAGCCCTGTCTCGGGCTTTCACCAGCGCCGGGGCTCAGGTGGCACGCAGCCATGCCTGGCCCTTCTCGGGGTCCTATGCCCTCACTGGGCCGAGCACTGCCCTCACGGGCTGGGGTCTCAACCCCACACCACACCGGTGCCCAGCCACTGTGCCTTCAGGTACTGCTCTGTGCCCCAAACAGGGCACCCAGGAACCCCCAGACTACTGGGGAGCTCCCGTGAGGCCTCCTCACACCCCTACAGCCTCACCCGGTCCTCCGGTGATATACACAACTGAAGCATAAGCCAACCAGCTGTAACAAAACAATCAGCCTACCGGCTATCACATAAAGTCCAGGCCCTCCTGGCTCTCTGGCCAAAGCCTCCCGGTCAGGCTTCTTTCCACCTTCACCATAACGCAGCCCTCTGGGTGCTCAGGCTGCACTGTTCGGCTTAGCTCTCCTGCAGAGCTCTTACCCCTCAGGCTGCCAGAAGGGAACTGCTAGCCAGGCTCCAGCCTGGCTGTTTATAAGGGCCCGGCCCTGCCCCCTTCTGGTTACCTGACCAGCCTGGTTGCTCCAGCAACCAGCACCTGAGCTGCCCTGGCAAATTAGCAGCGGCCCTAATCCCTACTTAAGGCACGGGGCACCCGAGTGCCCCCGTGACAGAAGGCATTTATGTTTCTATACATTTGTGTATTTTAGGATATATCAACGTGAGATGGCTCCCGCCAAATAAGACTGTGTTATTTACTGTTAAAAGACTGTTTAAAATATGTATGTGTTAAATCGTGTTTTTCTTATTCCTCATTGACCTCCAGGAACAGTAGATATGAAATGGTGAAAAGGGGGTGCAGCAGCAGAGCTCACTGCACACACAAACCAGAGGTGAAGTGGGGTGTGATGGCACCACCACAGCACCTGCCTTGGATCTGCCCCTGATTCTCACTTGTTAACAACCTTGCTAAAGGCCCATTTTTGCCACTTTTACTTATGCTGGCAAGTTTACCTTCAATTTTTAGCAGGTAAATGTGGCAAAGGGGACCTTAAATGGGGTTTCATACTAAAATTAAAGTATATTTCTATGCTGAAAATTGTACTGCTTCATTTATGAATCTTTTCTGTAAGTATATTTAAAATTGCATCATCTTTTTTTAGGGATTTTGAGTGCATTTGTGAAAATGTTGGCTCTATTGCTATAGAGCCAGTTGGATTGTTTTTTCTCACACAAGAAAAGTGTAATTCTGCTCCCAGCGACTGGCAAAAAAGCATTTGCACCAGTATAACTGAAGACCAAACTCAAACATTAGTGTTGCCACAGGTGTCAGCTGGTTGCATGTGGCTTTAAAAAAAAACTGTATTAAGGTAGACAGAGTTTCTGTTTTGCAGAGCTAACACTTGAAACCATTACACTTCAAACACCTGTGGGGAGAGGGAGATAAATTCCAAATGTTAGAATGCTTATCTGAAACATACAGATAAGGGTTGCATCCAGCACCTTATTGTTATCACTTAGTATAACCTTACCTAATCTATACCTCAACCTAATCTTAAAATGGCTACCTAACACTTGCAAACACATATACCAGGGTGAAAGTAGTATATTTCATTAAGACATTTTAAGCCAGCCAGAGAAAAATATGATACAATAATATCATTTATATGGATAAGTACTGATATTATTGTGTTTGAAATTACTAAGACATAAAAATGAGCTATTAACTAAAATAATTCAAATATATTAGAGAGAAATAGTGAAGAACACAGCCTTGTTAAACAACCTTTAAAGGGAAGATGAGCACCCCTTACTGAATTCTAACCTATTTTAACATAGATTTTTTAAAGGCATATTTTAAATAAATCAAGTTAGTGTGTTGACCCTTCTATGAAACAACATGCTGCTACACTAAATAATTCCATGCAAAACACTTAGAAGCAGCAGATTTTTTTTCTTCTTATACCTACTTCTCCTTAAAATAAGTGATTGACAGTAATCCAATCATGCAAAACTGCTATCAGCTGATGACCAGATGTTTTGGTAGAAACTGTAAAATAACAGAATAATGGACAGATATTTTATTTTTTCTACCTCATAAACTAATGGCCATATCCCATTCATATCCATTAGACACCTAAGTGCACTCCTATTCCACCCAGCTCAGTTACATGAAAATTCATTAACTCATATATTTTGGTAACATCCTGTCTAAGCCTTAAGACTGACTCGCAGGAAAGCATCAAGCATCGCGTACTTGAAGAGCTGCCATAAAGAACATGGGAAACACCTATTCTCTCATTAGAAAGAGGAGGATGTGGACCAATATCTTGAAGTTGCAACTAAATTTAGATCGGATCTCAGGAAAAAACTTAATTGCTAGAATAGGGAGTGGTACACATTGCCCAGGGAAGCTGTGGACTCTCCATCACTGCAGGTGTTCAGGAAGAGGTTGGACAGGTGTAGCTATGCCCATGTTCTACCATGGGTATTTCTGATGATTCTTGGTGCCCCCACCCCACTTTCTGCTACACGTATTAGAGTATTTTTAAGCCTCCTTCTGAGGCGCTGGGTGTTGGCTTCAGCCAAGGCTGAGGATTTTGACTGGGGTGTGCCAATGCTCCTGCTTGGGACCAAAGCTGGAGGCTTCTGGCTGGAGGGTCTTGCCCGTTTGCTCAGAGCCAGACCAATTGCCATATTTGGAGCTAAGAAGGAATTTTACCCAACAGTCAGATTGGTACAGACTGTTGTGGTTTTTGCCTTCCTCCATAGCAGAGGGGCATGACTCTCTACCTGGGATTTCTTCAGCGTATACTGACAACATGTCATAGAAGCAGGCCATTAGCTGCCATGGTTCCCCTGCTTTACCTCTAGCAGGTTAGGTGTTGTGTCAGGGATGAGGGTAGCCTTATGTAGGCTTTAGATTATGGATTTTATAGGATGTTTTTTTTAGGAATGATCCTGTCTCAGGCAGAGGGATTGGGGTATATGACCTCTGGAGATCCTTTTCAGCCCTACTTCTCTATTATTTCTATGATAAAAGGAAATGGCAAGGGGGAGGAGGACCCATCCAACTTTTGTATTGCTCCACCTAATAGATAGAGTAGGATTTGGCCATTGATGTTTTATACATTCTTTCCAGTCCTACAACATATGATACTGATAACTGTTGTATATCCATCCACTTCATGACTATAGGAAGTTGTCAGCCAGACTTTAGTTTAAATAAATTTTAAACCTTATGAGAAAAATGATTCCACTGATGTTGGCTTTTTTTTGAGGAAGGAAATGAGAAGGCAGTATACATTTATTATCTGTTATTGTTTAATTTAGCAGTAAGATCTTTGTTTCCACAAGGAAGAAAGGTCTTGTTAACCTGCATCGATGGGGATGCTCACCCTTGACCCATGGGCCACATCCAGACCATGAAGCTGTGTCACCCAGCCGACATGGCTCCCCAGGTGTCCAGAAATGTGATGGCAGTAGCAATGCTGATTGCCATTCCCCTGCAGCCAAATTTTCAGATACATGGGGAACCCCAGGGGCTGAATAACATCACCCTGCACATTAGATTGTCCCAACACACAGTCAGATTGGGTTGGCAAGCCCATGAACCACTCTGTGTGGGATCCAGCCAAAAGACAATAGCAATACATATGAATGTATTAAATATTAATATGGTTTTTCTTCTAAACCTAAATTTAAATATCTTTTTTTTTTTTTTTGCAAGAAAGTACTTGTGTATTGCTAGAAGAATGAATAAATGATTAGCAGAGCACCCTTAAATTCAAATGATCTTTGAAGTAGTATTCTGGATGGCTGTCTGTAGCACAAGACCGCATATAAAGCCAGGTAAAAGGTTACAGTAATTCACCCAGGAATTGCACCCTGCCCAGCCCTTCCACCCAGGTGGGTGGTAGCAATGTACCCATTCATACGCACACCCCCAACATACCCTATTGCGCCTTGCTCCCACCTTTACAGGCTGAAGGGACCACCCAGCCAGCATTAGTCTGCTGCTGCTGCAGCCACCAGGGACCTGCTCAGCTTCCCCAGTGTCCAGCTTGCTCTGGGCAGCAGGTAGGGAAGTGGCAGTGGCAGAGCTGCAGCTGGGCAGGAGTGCAGAGTGTGGGGCTGGGGCTGATGGCAGTGCAGAGCTCAGCCCAGTGCCCGCTGGTGCTTGGCATGCGTGGCTCTGGCCAGCGCTGCATATCACAGTGAGGGGCTCATCATCCACCAGGCCGTCTCTGTCGGTGGCACCCCCCACGTGCATGTGCAGGCTCCGCCGGGCCATCTCTATCACCAGCTTCCCTCCACACGTGCCGCTCCTGCACTCATGCAGCATGGAAAGAAAGCCCTGTGTGCTGGAGCTGGCTGCCTTCCCTGCCACTAGACCTGCAGGCAGCAGTGCAGGCAACCAGCTCCATCTAGCGCATGTGGCTTTCCTCCCACTCCATCCAAGTGTGGGGGCTGCGCATGCATGGTGAGGAGCGCTGGTGATAGAGAAGGCCCAGTAGAGGCTGTGCACGTGCACAGGGAGCACCACCAAGAGAGATTGCCCAGTGGAGGTTGCACCCCTTGCCACGATGTGAAGCACTGGCCAGAGGCACATGCTACCAGACACAGTCACACCCCCAAACCCCACCATGCAAATACACCCCCCCAACCACACAATATACAAAACTAAGAATTTATTTTTGAGTTATTATGCAATCACCTCTATGCATACGACACAAACAGAAATCATGGCAAAAATACTTTTTGTAATAAAATTAAAATATGTTGTAGTAGGTGTTTTGACTTTTAGTGTATGATTTATTTTTTTCCTGGTTCTAAGATGACAACCACCCCCTCCCAAAAAAGGATCATGTCCAAGGGACAAGGGGAGAGACTTGTGGGGGCAAAGGTCAGGTGTTAGTAGGTAGGACTGCCAGTCCCAAGATAGCAACCAGGGGGTAGGGCAACTGTTGAGGGGCAGGGCTACCCATGAGGCCCTCAAAAGCTCACCAAAGCTTGTTAACTGGCCCTCCACCTGAAATAACTGTCTGCCCTTGAGTTGCATTGTAACTGGAGGGATCCTTTGATATCAACAGAATTGTTACATTGGTCTGTACCATGAAAGAGTTATGCTAAATTTTGGTATTTATTCATGGAAACAATAAAAAAGAACATGACTGCTACCCCACCCTTCTAATTCAACAAGCCTTTATTCCAATGGATAAGAATGCTGGTTGTTTTCAACAACACAGTTGCAAAAGTTTAACATAAGTAAAGCAACGTGTGTCTCATTATATCATTCACAGACATGAAGAACTATTTTTGCAGAAACTTTCCAAAACTCTTCAAGCTGAGGCAGACATCAGAATTTCAGCCCAGCTTCCGTTATGTAATTGTTAAATTTGGGAGAGTGTTAGTAACTGTAATAGGGCACTTTAACTGTGGCCAATGCTCTCAGCTCTCTATATAATAAATGACTAGTTTTGTGTTAAACCTAATAAATTTGAAAGCTTCCATCATAACTAGATTTTTACACTGTCTTAACTGACACTACTAAAGAAGTTTTTCAGTTCAATTTCCCTATATAAGTATTATATTTAAAGAAAAGGAAACAAGTAAGTGTCATGTTTAGGACAGTAGGCACAATTACTTAACTGCTCATTCAAAGTCATCTGTTTTGTAAATAAGTAATTATAAGTTTCTTAAAGTGAATATTATTTACTTGGTACAATATAATAGCAAACCAGGTTGTCTGCCAAGTATAAGTTATTTTTACAAAATGCCCCATAACAGCCCTCCTGTGCCGTTACAGATTGACTTGATGAGGGCTACTTAGATCCCTTCTTAGTTCACTGAACCCATAGCACATTACAGTCTAAGCCATTTTCCTGCTTCCTAAGCTCTGCACCTATTTTAAAAGCTGTGTTTGCTTCTGTCAAGAATATTTTCTGCAGATGAATATAAATGTGATAGGATTTCATTGGTAGTACTACAGAGATAGCAAAACTCCTCTTTGCAACTTGAGTGTCAAGCTGTGCTGTATAAAGAAAAATAAATCTCCAGTGATCCTCAGTCAATTACAGAAGCATTTAGCTGGTTAAATGAAAGGACTAGTCAGAATATCAGAATCTTACAGTAAATAGTGTTATTTACAGGTTGGAACTGTTCCTTTAAAAACTGGGCCATTTAAACAGAAACCTTTCTCTGGTTTCTACAATGAATATATTCCATAAAAGAAACAGACACTACTTATTGCTTAAAAATAAATCATGTTGCCTATTAAATTAATGTCTGTTCCCTTTTTCTCTTCCTTCTAGCCATCAGTCTCATTAAAAAGAAGAGTCTCAGTTAATGCATTTCTGCTGCCTTGGTACCCAGAAGTTCAGTCCTGCTACCACTGAAATAAATGATAGAACTCTCATTGATTTCAGCACTGGAGGATTAGTGCCAGGCATTAAACAGATACCCCAAAGGGAAACAGAAAGACTGCATTCATTTATACTTTCTTGTCTAAGAAATTGCAAAGCAAAAGCAAGTGTTTATAATGTCACTGCTGAAGCAACATCAGAGATATTGTTTGAATATACTGGAGGATAAAGTGGGTTAAAGGCATGAGGATTCCTTTGCTCTTTATGCAATTCTATGGCCAGCAGCATCATCTACCATTTACTTCTGGGAAGATTTTGGGAACAGGGAAAAGACTATAGTATGGAAGGCAAAGCTATGTTTCTAGTTTTCAGCACTCTAGCAAGTTGCTAAAACTTTCTAATGTGCAACTAGATGCCACTGCTCATGACCAGTGTCACTGGTCTTAAACTCTGGAAACATTATGACCTCTAGTCAGCTGTTTCTTGATGTGGTGCACAATATACTCCTGTATCCCAAGCACCAAAAGCCACAGTCTTCATTTGCCCTTAGATTAGGACTGCTCTAGCAAATTACTAAATATCAGTTCCATACCTCTCTGATAGCTGTACAAAACTCGCTCTGCAGTACTTTTTTTAGGGATTGTAGCTTGTGCACTGGTACCTCCCCAGACTCTTGAAGTTTCTCCAGTAATTCAATTGCTCTGGCAACATCTGAGTAGATAAAAATAGGAATAATGGTCAGAAAAGCACATGTTTTTCATGGAAGATAAATGACTAATGTTCCAGAAAAGCAGCACAATGATGAACGTCAGTATTTTAAGTGTAAGGTCATCTTAGCTATACAGAATTTATTCTTTGTTTGTGCTTACAATTAAAGGACAAGATATGGTTCAAGATGATTGTCTGCACTTTAATAATTTTCAAAATATATAATTACATTAGCTTTATACATGCTGTTAAGAAATTTGACATTATGTGCATATTGATCAGTCTTACACATTATTTTTTAAACATGGATACAAATATAAACAACTGAGGTACCTTAGTATACTTAAGAGAGAGGTTACTGCTCTTTTTTGTTCTGAGGAGAGCAACATAAAGTACAGGGGCATTCTTTCCCCAAGTCTGAGTGAGTTAAGGTATATGTAACGGATAATGGATATGAAACGTATTAAATATTAATATGTTTTTTTTTCTAAACCTAAATTTAGATTTTTTTTTTTGCAAGAAAGTATTTGCTAGAATTGCTAGAAGAATGAACAAATGATTAGCACAGCACCCTTAAATTCAACTGATCTTTGAAGTAGCATTCTGGATGGCTGTCTGTAGCAAAAGACTGCATTTAAAGCCAGATAAGAGAATGTTACAGTAATTAAGATGCAAGATTATTAGAGTCTAAAAAAGAGTTTAGCTGTGTGCATGGAGAGATTCTTAGAAATGCAGTGCAGAAAGAATCTACACGATTTAAATGTAAGGTGTAGGTGGATGAAAAAAAAACAAACCCCAAGGTTGAGATCTGAATCAAAGACAATCAATTTACAGGTCTGTGTGATCAGCAGGATAATAATGTTGTCCACAAAGATTAAGAAAAGGAAGTAGTGGGGAGTATCTGGGGGAAGATTAAGAGCTCTGTTTTGGCTATGTTGAGCTTGAAATGAAAACTAGTCACCCAGGAATTAAGACTGAGATCCAAACTGAGTCAGGTCTGGATCAAAAAATTAGATTTGAATTTTCCTGATTTGTCTGTTGTTTAGAAACAATCTGGTTTAGTCACAAAGAGTAAAGGAAGAAGAGAAAGAGGTGGATCCTTTTGGAACTCCCACAAAAAGCTGGAACCGGGATTAGGAATTCTCCAGTGGACATGCTGAATGAATAATTACAGTAAGAGGAGAACCAGGAGATGATGAAGTAATGGAAGCCAAAGGAAGACAAGAAGCATATGGTTGACTATGCTGAAAGCAGCTGATAGGAAAATTAGGATGGATGGCTCTTTTTATGTTTGTGTTGGACCTGATCCAAATCCCATTAAATTATGTGGAAAACATTCTTATTAACTTCTGTGGGATCCTGTTTTAGGAAAATGTTTCCATTTTTTGGAAGGGTACTTCAGCACATGCTTAATTAACTTTAAGCATGTGGGTAAGTCTTGTTGAAATCAATGGGATTTAAGCCCATCCTAATAGGAGCCAGAATCAATCTTAGAATGATGATTAATAGTATTTAGAAGCAGAGCAAGCTTTTGCCTAGTATTGTGGTACTCTGCAAAAAGAAAAACACGGTAGTACAAATGATAAATTAATTCTCCTGTTCATACTTTGACATAAATGGGGAGCTGGTGTGTGAATTTCGGGGAAAAGCTGGACACTAAGTTATCATTTCATGACAGTAATTTTGCTTAGGAATAAACAAGCTTATGGGTGCAGCAAAGAAAATGCTAATAAGCAAAGTATGAGTCTCTCCTCATATTAAAACAAAATCACCAACAATAATTTTAACAGTAGATGGTGTGAGAAGTGACAGGTGTGGCTTTAAATATCTTGTTTACCATAAGAAAAATCATCTTATTTCAGTAAGAAATTCAGTATTTCACTATGCTTTATTAAGTATAATAACTATACTGCATGGGTAGACTGAAAAACCTCAAAAGACTACTATCTTAATTATCATACCTGATTTTCTTAATTCAGATTGGTAGTTCCAGTTGGGATTTGTGGTCACATAGAATACAGATGCAAATTCAGAAAACAAAACATGATTAATATAATAAATTTTATACTTCAGAAGCAGGAGATGTGGGGTTTTAGCCTCACACTATGTTGTGACATAATGTGACGTGACTTATCTGGGAGTTGCGCATATTTTTGTGAAATTGAAAAATCTAAAAAATGTATCTTTTAAAAAATGAAGCACAAGTATTTGCCATATAAATCAAACTTGGTATTCCTTTGATACTTTCATCAACCACAGTGGAAGTTGAGACATGACTATCTGGGGTTCTGAGATAATGAAAGCAGCACATTGCTTGCCCTGGCCCCAGAACTTGGAAGATTTCTCGAGATTAACTTCAAGTATAAAAGTGATACAATTTAATTTGTTTTTGACGCCAAATATTTTTTCCAAAATTGTGGCCAAGTATATATGGTAATAGATAAAAGAGTAAAATATTACCTCACATTGGTTTGAAATACTACATTTCTTTCAATTAATACCCCTCTATTGTGGGGAGACTTAGTGAATAATTGTTCCAGGCAGAGCCAGCCTGAGAGGTGGGCGATATGGGTGACTGTCCAGGGTGCTGCGGTCACGGGGGTGCCATAGACACCCATCCACATGTGAGCAGCCCACACTCACAGCAGTGCTCTACCCCTGCCCCTACCCACCCCAGCCAAGCCCTGCCCCAGGCAGGAGGAGCAGTGCCCAGTCCAGCCCACCCCCCAGCTCCAGCTGCTGCTCAGGAAGAGCTGAGCCAGACAGTGTACGTGACAATAATGATGACTGCCTGCCCACCTGCATGATGCACCATACTGATCTGCCTCCCTGCTGGACTGTGCCCCTGCCTATGCTTGCAGCAGCACCACTGACAAGTGCAATAACTGCTTAAGACTAGAGATCATATGTCAATAATAGTTCAAAGGAGTGAGAAAAAGGAATGAAGTGACTGGCAGAGTCACTTATGAGAAACTAACAAATAATACAAAATCTTTCTCCAGTTGAAGCCAATGACAATCTGTCCAGTGATTTCAATAAGGCAAAGACTATCCTCTTGGAATTCTTTGTCTGACCATTATCCTCCTTTTGCTATACATGTGTACAAATAGATTCATTCTTTTCCTTGTGAAACACTGTCAGATACTGTTTTCTCATATATTTGGAGGAAAGGTAAATTCACAAATAGTAACGATTAAAAACAAATATTGAAATAGAAAAAGTATCTTTAAAAATCAGTTCAGGGCTATAATTCATCTTCTAATATGAAGGAAATCAAACATAGTATTCTCTTTTTAATACTTCTAATGTGCTACTCTTATCTTCTTACCCTTCCATTGTCTTCATTTTCATCATCGTGCTCTCTTGACTCATGCAGTCTTCATTATATTGAAATTTAAGTTCATCGTAATTTGATTGAAATCCATCCTCATTTCACACATCAATCTCCCACTGAGATCAATGAAAATTTTGTGTGAGATTTAGGAAGAGAGAGGGAGCATAGATGTGGTGTTTCAATTTTTTATATTACTTCCACAATAAAAAGAGCATCCTTCCTGTCCCTCCCTTCCCCCTTCCTGCCAATGTAATGCTAACTGTATCTCTTAATTTTAACCAATATTTATTTATAATTCTCTCTTGTATTTACACAATAATCTCCCCTCTTCTCTGTTCTAACATTCTCTTTCCCCTTTCCACTTTTTTCATCAGTTCATTTCCATGTAGCACTTCAGGAAATAATGTTACAGCATGGTGTGTCATGTTATCAGTGAAACACAGATAGAGACAAAGGACTATGAATGGAATATATTTTATCAAGTGTGTGCATCAAAAAGGAACCACTGCTTTCAGAAAAAATCTTTTTGGAAGAGATCTCTTGATACTTTTATTTGAATGCAGTTTCATTTCCATTCCTGGGGTGGGAAAGGTAGGGGCATAGGAATTATATTAAGTTATTATACACAGCTAAAGAAAGAGAGAAAAATCACTAGAAGGACATAAAGCTAGCTAGATTTCATACTGTGATAAAAACTAGAACATTACAATTGAATATCAAATGCAGTCCAGTCATGTAGATGTGGCCCCATAGCACAATACAATTAGAAGGCAGGTGAACTTGCTTATCACTTTGTTCTTCAGTCTCTATGTTTAATCTCATTTCTTTCATGTTACATATAATTTTCCCTTGCTACCTTTTTGTTCAAAACTACTGTTACATACAATAGAGAGAGATTTACTTGACTTAATTTGTTGGATATTTTACAAAGAATTTTATTTTAAGTACCTTGCATTTCAGATAGAATTTGAATCAATTTGTTGCTTTTGGGTTACACTATCATCTGAAATAAGAATCATAGATACTTTAAGACTGGGAGTCATGTCACAGTTCCAGTAATTGCTGGTAGGGCAAATTCTAGTTTTCAGTGGGGTTGTCTGTAGTATGGTTTTATTGATGGTAAATTAAGGCAAGCTTGGTAGGTTCTAATGCTAACTCAAAAAATCAGTTGAATTCAGTAGCAGTTCACAGAAATGACATAATATTTAATTTTAGCATTCTGAATCTTTTGTATTTAGTTTGAGTAAAGGTTTCGTAAAAGTCCTGCAATACAAAATGTCAGTTATTCTTGGAACAGAAGATACTTAGATGCACTACATACTCCTTCAAAATGTACTACATTTACTAATATCTGGTCTTTTACTCCTATACGTGGTCTGGATGTTTTATTGTCAACTAATTAACTGTTTGGTTATGGTTGTAGTCCCTTAAACAAGTATTTTACCCTGTAGCATAAGAGACAATTTGGCTGGTCATGATTCTGGTCTGTAATGTTAGTTTTGGTTCAAACAATAATTGCTCATTTAAACCTTGCTCACAGGTGCATGATGTGGTTAACCAATGCCCACCATCTAGTCTAGAATCATTTTATTTGGACTGTTCCCAATATTGAAATGTAATCATTTCTTGTACAGTAACAAGATACTGGGTAGTTGACTTACCACATTTTTGACAATACTGACACTTTTTATCTCTTCTTAGTGTCAATCTTTTATTCATGTATGAAAATGTTCATTGATGGTGAAACTAGACTAACATACCAATATTTAGGCAGAAGAAATGTATAGGCTAAACAATGGCCTCCATGGCCCAAAGAGATAGAATGTCATTGCAATTAACAGCAAAGTCGTCAACAGTCTCTAATGCATAAAAACCAGCGCACAGACTTACCAGGGAAGGCTAGAAATACATACAGGGCTGGGTCAGTGGGGCTGTTCTAGCTAATATGTCACCTGAAAACCTGAAGAGGCTGAGTACATCAGTTTTTCCATTCAAGTCTACAGCTCCCCAGGCAGAGGATGAAGAGTTTCAATGAAGTAACAGCTCTTTGCATAACTATATTCATGGTCCTCTATCTCCTCTGCTCAGGCTTAATTATTCCTCTAATTATATTTGTGAGAATTTGTCAGAATTCTTATTTTCATTCTATTTTCTCATGAGGATTTTTGT